CTCTGTCTCAGGAAACCAAAAGACCAAAACAAAACAAGGCTGTGAGAAAAATTACCATAGGATACTTGGACAATCCATCTGTAAGTCATGAAATACTTTAAATAGGTGAACATTGTTAAGCTAGATGGAGAATAAGTTCATGAACTTCATCAGTTTCCACAGTAACACCATGCAATGCAAAAATAAGCAGAAGTAATGACTGTGGGTATGAGAAAGCAGAAAGGAAAATAAGCAAGTCACAGAATGGTCCTTGGCCCTGTATTTGAATACATGTGTCAATCTGGGAAAGGTTTTAGGGCATGATGTATCTATTACAATCTCATAGGTGTTTCTTTTCACAGGAAAACCACATTCTTCCCACACAGGCTGCCAGTGTGGTGGCACTCAAGTGGAAGTCCACAGGCTGTCAGTGTCATCATCTATGCACATCCACAAGTGAAATGTGAAGAGCATGCAGAATTGAATGGGAGAGCTTGAGAAAATCACCCCTCACTTCAGGAGTAAAGCAAAAGGTCTATAAAAACAAAACAAAACAAAACACAGGAGCCATGTAAGTCAAGTTGGGAAGGCACTCAGAACAGATTTACACAAGTTAAACAAAGGGCCTTCTGAGGAGAATATTTCAAAGCAAATTGCTTCCAGAGTTTTACAGCCTAAGGGCCTGACATCTGTAGACAGCCAAATGCCTAGAGGAGACTAACGAGGGGGAAGACACACATTAACAGCACAGAGCTAAATTTATAGCACAGCTTGAGAGATACAACACTATCAAAAGGAAAACGAGGCAGAGAGGAGGTGGGAATTAGTCTTAACGGTTTTGACAGTGTTACTTTATATTTTACTGGGTGGGATACAAATATTTCCTTTAGAAAGTGAATATTTTTCTTTTACATAAGATTATGTAATAAAAAGAAAGCTTGATAATTCAATAGAATAGGGCTTAATCCTCCTTCTATTAAATTACAGACAAATTGGGCATCTGCTTTGAGTCAATGGTTCCTTATTTGTGTAATGAACATGCAGACCTTACTGTTCCCTATTGCTGTAAATATTCCCAGCGTTGCAAACAAATAAAATGGAACTTTGCAGAAAACAAATGAATATGAGGCACTTCACTGCAAGCATTCAAGATTTTCTTGCTTTTTTAAAAAAGATTATATTTATTTATATGTATCTGTGTGGGGATATGCCTATGCTAGTGCAGTGGCCATGAGGTCCATAAGACAGAACCAGATTCCTGGGAAGTGGAGTGATAGGCAGTGATGAGCAGCTGGAAATGGGAGCTGGACATGGAACTCAGGTCCTCTGCAAGAACAGCACCCTTAACTACTGAGCCATCTCTTCAGTAACGCTATTATTTTCTTAACAGTGCACGAAGAATCCCAAGTCCCTCATTTGTATATTTACTTAGGTATTTTATTGCATTTATATATGTATTTTTGGCGGTGGGGGCATAAGGATGTCACAGCACATTAGTGGCTTTCTGGGAAATCTGTTTTCTTTTTCTACTATGTGAGTCCTAGGGATTGAATCGGGTCATCAGGTTTGGCAACAAACACTTTTGCCTCAAAGTCATCCAAGAGAACCCCAACTGCTTAGTTAAAAAGAACTTTTTTCTTATCCTTTAAAGTCCATCTGACTTGGATAAACATCCCATCCTTAATTAACTCCAAGGTGGAGTGTTCTTTTTCTTCTGACTTGTTTATACTCTGTCACCTTCCCTTAAGAAGGCAAAGGAATGCTTATCTTGCTGCATGCTCGGTCTTGAATGTGTCACCCCCAAAATCCAGTCATTGAAAATTCTTACCACCAGATGGGTCAAATACATAATAATTCCTACAGAGGTCATTAGGAGACAGTGATGCAGCTCAGCAAGTAAAGGGGATTGCTGCTAAGTTTGATGACCTAAACTCATTTCCTGGAGTCCACATGGTGAAAGGAGAGAGCCAACTCCACAAAGATACCCTGCACCTTCTCCTGTGCACATATACAGACATAATTAAAAGTAAGTCTATAGGAAGAGGTGACTATATCAAGAAGATTTCCCCCTCTCAACGATGGGACACAGGCACTTATAAAAGAGACTTATGACAGCCTTTAATTCCATTTTCAGTCTGTCTTCCTAAGGACACAACAAGGCATCACCTTGGAATAGTGGAGTAGTCACTCTTCAGCAGAGCAGAAATCCTGCTGCCACTTGAATTTGGAGTCTAGAACCATCATGGGAAGCATTTTATCAGTACAGCTTAATAGCATTTGTTTTCTTTATGTTAGTAGGATACTCATAGTGCATGTGTGCGTGCACTGTGAAAGTGTGCGTGTGTGGGCGTGCACTTGTGTGTCTGTGTTGTTGTTGTTGTAATTGTTTTTGAGACAGTGTCTCTCATTGAACCTGGGTTGAACTGAGGGCTTACAGATTCAGATAAATATGTGGCCAGTCATCTCCAGGTATCCTCCTAGCTTTACCTTGAGGTGCTGGGATTACTGGTGTGACAAGTTTGCCGCACTTCATCTGGATTTTTGACTGAATGCTGGGATCAAAGAATTGGGTGTCATGCTGCTTGCTTGAGGACATTTTATCCACCAATCTGTCTCATCTCCCACTTTTAAATACATTCTTACCACCCTGTTCTCTTTTCTCCCTGGGGTGACTCCTACTGGTTTCTTCTCTGTTGTGCTATGTTTGCCCTACTCTATTTTTATATTAGTCTGTGTATAGTCTTTTCATGGGCTTATAGTATTCACTAGAAGTCTCAGGGAGAAATCTGAAAGATAAAACAATCATTTGACAACAAGCCCACCCAGTATCCAAATCAAATGCAGGATAAAGCAGGTGTCATTTCAATTCATTTCAGCAAGGTTTAGCATCCAAGAAGCTTGGATACCATTAAGATAAGTATAGTTTATGTCTAAAGCCAAGAATATCAATAGAAAGAACCAAGAAAAGGCAAAAGACAGAGTACAGTGTGAATAAGAGGTAAAATGCATGAGCCATAAATCTGAGAAATAATAGAGAAAATACCATGGAATATTTACAGAATAATAAGGAGCAGCCATAGACACACACTTAATCAAAATGTAGCTAAAACAAAGTAATTAAAATACAAACAAAAATGAAATATAAACCCCAAGTTTCCAGTAAAGCAGAATGCCATTTGCTAGGTTGTCTTCCACAGATGATTTCAAGTGGCAAGGAAGGAGACAGGTAGACTCTGTTGCAAATGGAGTTTCTTAATTGGTCTAGATAATAGAAGCCAGATTCAGATATATAGAGAAATGCTGAGATATCAGAGAGAAGGAGCAAGCCACAGCACACCTTACCTCCTATGCGTCTCAGCAGAGAAGAGAACAATTTCCAGTTTATCCCTGTTTATATCCTGCTTCTGCCCAGCTACATCACTTCTTGCCTGTCTGTAGAAATCTCCAGACCTCTATGGTTAGCTAGTAGCAAGTCCCATTCTCTGACCCCCGGACGGGATTTATTTGTGCAAGAAAGATATCATCACACTCTGTCATTCAAATAGAGTTACAGCAGAATGTACTCCCTGCTAGTCAGGTTTCTGGAAGGGGCCATCTCTCTGGGAGTTTTCCTATCCTCAGGCAGGTTGTTCTCTTTAGCTCGTTACCTTTTCCTGTGCAGCCTTCTCTCTGCTGTGTGGAGATACATAGACCAATAACTAACAGTTCTTGCCTACAGAGGCAGAGAATCGTGTGTCCTAGGTGCCTTTGTGTGTATAAGCTTGTCTGTGTGTATGCCTGCATGTGCCATTGTGTTTCTGTTAATATATTCATCGCTTTTTAGTGTTAACATACTAGTTCCTCTTCTGTCTACTGGGACCCAATACCTGACAAAAGGGCAACATAGGGAAAAAGGTTTTAATTTTGACTCCCAGTTTGAAGGTATATTCTACCTTGGTGGCAAGAACATGACTCAGCTGGTGACATTGGGTCTGTAGTCAGGAAGCAGAGAAATAAATGCTGATTCTCAGCTTGCTTCTCTCCTTTTAATTCAGTCCAGGACGTTAGCCTGTGAAATTGTGCCACTTATATTCAGGGTGGCTCTTCACACTTCAATTAATTTACTCTTGGGATTCCTTCATCAACATTCCCAGAGGTCTGTTTAAATAGCAATTCTAAAATCTCACCAAATTAAAAACCAGGTTAGTCATTATTGTCAGTCTCTTCATCCCTTTCACCTTCATGTGAGCATAAAGATCACTGATTGTCTAATTGTCAGCATAGGTAGAATCCATTGGGTCTAGAAATGTCTGAGGTCTGAAATCTGTGACATTCCTAGCAGAGTATTTTGACCATGGGAATCTCAGTTACTTCATTCATACCTGGGAGGAAGAGAGGCTATCAACCATGTCTTGGAGAAGTCTTGTCCTCGTGTCATTTACTATATCACTAGCTCCAGTCTTGGGGATTATTTTAAATTAGATATTATATATTTATTAAAACTATGGCAACCCTATGAGACAGCAATTCCATTACAGAAGATTCTTATAAAATATTGCACCATATGTATTCAGAACAAATATGCACAAGAATATAAAGGAAGAAAGATCCCCAAATAGTAAAATAGAGAAAAACTGGGAGGGTTTAGTCCAAGTATTCAAATCCATGAGCCTATGAGCAGTTTCTCATTCAAACCACACAGTATGTAACTCCATATATATCAATCACCTATGGAGATAGAATTTGAGTAAAAATATAAGCAGGATGCTGTTAGAAGGGAGAGCTTGTCAGTATCAGCATCTAAGAATCTGTCACAATAGGCAATCCTTTTGATTAGAGTGTGGCTTAGAAGGAATCAAACACATTTTAGATATTCTTGGGAAAGACTAAATTATAAAACCAGATATATTTATTCTTTAAGAGAAAATAAACATCATTGAAAGGGAACTTGGGAGCAAATTGCTTGGAACTGAACATTTTTCACTTTTACCTGTGAAGGCCCTACATTTAGATATAGTAGGCATGCTATTGTAATCATAGTTGTTCTTTCCTGGACAGAGATAATAATCAAAAAGGTGGCATTCCTAGGGTAAGACTTTCATTGCACTCCAAATGTGCTGACCACTGCAGTTTCCCTAGAGGCGTGAAACTCAGCTGCATAGATTTTGGGAGAGGGAGACTGTGTTCTCTCTTTCCTGTGATTACGGTAATGTTTAAAAACTGTTTCAGGGAACTTGCGGCATGAAAAGCACTTGCTCTCTTGCAGACAACTCAAGTCCATTTCCCAGCTCTCGTGTCCAGCACCTCGCAGTCACTAAAACCACAGTTGTAAGAACTCATGGCCTCTTGGGTTCCATGGGCATTTGAATACACTCAAACACATACAAATTTAAAAATAAATCATTAAAAATTATTGATATTTCTGTAAGCCTGTGTTTCAGTTTTGCGATGGCTACAAGGAATTCTCTTGACTTCCCACCCAGTTGTTTACAACACACCAATACCAAATGGCAATACTTCTCACAATTTCTAGTACAAGAATCTGTGGAGTTCTGTTTCTTTTACAGTACAGAATCCAGATGACACCTTATGCAAACAGGTGTGGAGAACACAGATGGAAAAGGAATAATTTTGTACATGCCAAAATGTTCAGTGGGTGGTGTGAATGGGTATTCCTCAGGTACCTTCCACTTCCTTGGAAACAGTGTCTCTCATTGGCCTAGAGATAAGCAGATAACTAAACTGGCTAGAGAGTGAGTCACAGGTATTTTTATGTCTCTGCTTCCCCAGCACTGGGTTTACAAGTGTGTGCTGCTATGCCTATCATTTTTACATTAGTTTTGGGTGTGGAGCTCAGGACCTCTTACAAGGTAAACACTATATCAAATGAATCATCTCCGCCGTCCAAGAACTTTATTTTTGACAGACCAAATACATGCAAGGAAAATTTAAACTGGATTGATAAAACCAGGGAACTCTTATTTTTCTCCAAAGAAGGACATGCAATGGTTTCTCCCACAAAACAACAATTGTATGTAGAAACAAAGAAAATACAATTGAGATATTGTAAAGATACTATTTAGGCTGAGCTGTGGTGGTTCCAGCCTTTAATCCCAACACCTGGAAGGCAGAGACAGGCAGATGTCTGTGAGTTCAAGGCCAGACAATTCTGGAGAGCTAGTTCCAGGACAGGCTCCAAAGCTACACAGAAAAACCCTGTCTTACAAAAGAAAAAGAAAAAGAAAATAGAGAGAGAGAAAAGATGCTATTTCGGAGTCAAAAGGATAGAGGAGGAAGGAAGATGGATTGCAGAGGTTCCAAATATCAAACAAACCAGAAAAGGTTGTTTTGGTGGCTAGTGAAGAGCTACTTTGACTTACAATTTATCAATATAAAAATAAATGTTAAATGACTTTTTTAGTTTGGTTGAGATGACTTAGTGGGTAGAGGTACTTGTAGCTGAACCTGATACCTGAGTTCAATGCCCTGTGCCCCACGTGGTGGAAAGAGAATTCTCTTTGCCAAGAACTTATCATCTGTCTATCTACCATCTATCTACCTATCATCTATCCATGTGTCTATTTTTCAATCATCTGTCTACCCTCTCTCTCCCTCTAAAATTAGTATTAGCTTGACTTCTTTTTACATTTTTCTGGAGAGTTTTAGATATAATTGAATAGATCATCTATACATATGTATACACATACATATTTAATAGGAATTAAGAACATTTAATTGGGTTTTAGTGTACTTTATTATATTTTTTCACATTGTTATTCTTCTGAACTGTTGGCAAACATTGAATTAAAAAGAAGAAAAAAGATGCTCACATTATTATGTTCTATTAAAAGAGTCAAAATCTATTGAATTTGTAGCATGTCTTTCTAGCTTCCTGCTCTTGAATCAAGGGTCCTGGACAGAGACCACATAGAAAGCCTTGTGTGTGGCTTGGATGGAAAATGTCCCCACAGGTTCCTTTTCTGAATGCTCAGCTGAAAACTTATGACACAATTTTGAAGGTTAGTGCCTTGTTGGCAGAAGAAAGTCACAGTGGGTCGGTCTTTTAAGTCTAGACCCATCACTGGATCCAGCCTGCTCTTGGTATCTTGATTACTAAAATCCCGAGAAGCTTTGAGACACTAACATACTTTCTCATGAAACAATGGCCTGAGATCTTTCTGATACCAAAATCTCAAAATTCTATACAGGTAACTCATACACCATACATGATGAGCGCAGAAGATATTCTGCATCTTTAGAAGCAATGTTTCTCAAAATAATCTAATTCCTGGTTTCCTATGTAAAAAAAACAAATAGTGGCCTGACTAAGGGGAAAAAGTGTCATAACATAAAATTAGATAAAATTCATGGGGACATCACCTTTTTGTATAGCTTTGGCAATTCAATTCTTGGAAATATTTTTAACTTTTGTGTTGTTACTTTTGATAAAACTATTATCTTAACATATTTCAGGATGTCTGGTCAGATGTATTACTAGGTTATTTGTGTTGCAAACTAAGACAGGGTGTTTGAAAACATTTTTTCACAGTTTTATTTCTTTTCGTGTGAATGATCATGCGCAAACCATAGTGCATCTGTGAAGGTCAGAAATCAGTCTGCATGTTCTCTCTTTCAACTATGTGGGTTTGCAGATTGACTTCAGGCCATTGGAGTTAGAAACAAGTCAGAAGTATTGCAATGTGCTCTTCTGGAGATGGCCCTTAGACACATCCAGAATGGAACAGCATTTAACATAACATTGGAGACTTTCCTATAATAGAGTTAATAACAAAACTCAGTAATATTAACTCCCCGGTAAAGGGATGTTTACTTTTATACCAAAAATATCAAGAAAGCACCAAAATCCTCATTTGTCAGGTTGCCAAGAAGGCTTGGAGGGGTTCATGCTGAAATGCTGTGCAATCTTCATCTGCTTGCAGATTCCTTATGTGCTGTGTCCATGACAGTATCAAATGTGGTTGCTTGTGGAAGAAGGCACATGCACAGAATCAGAAGTGAAATGAATAAGAAGCTTTAAATATATATGTATATATGTATAATATATATACATATTATATATACATGTATATGCGTGTGTCTGCTTTTCTGTACATGCAAAGAGCTAAAAACCATAAATACAATAAGATGAAAACATTTAAATAATTCAACAAGGAACATTCAGAGTAGATGACTTAGTGTAGAAGAGCCCTTGCTGTGTATGAGGGACTGGGTTTGAATGTCCAGTACATGTTTAAAGCACAAGCTTGGCTGCTCACATATGTAATCCTACTGCTATGTTGGTGTGGAGCTAAGAGAAACACATAAACAAAACCAAGATGCAATTGTATGAAAGTTCACTCTGGGTGACCAATGAGTTTATCAACCTTACAGAGCATGAGGGAGGAAGGGATTACAGGCAGGGGAGGAGGTGCCTTAAAATATTTTACACTTGAAGGTCTGAAACCAACATGAATAATGACTCCCCATGTTGTCCCTCTATAATGAGTCCCTCCCCTCTTCCTTCCCAACCTATATTCTTTAGCCATTCCCAGAGACCAAGATGTCAGGTACATTTAGGGAAGAACTGCATATAATTGGTTGGGAAGTGTGGCTGGACTGTCAAGTGAGGTTCTTATGACTCTCCAGCATTTCCTTTCAAGAGGAAGCATCAACCAGAAGGTTAGCTGTAAAGACCTTTGGCAAGCAGGGTTATGTCAATCACTTGAAGATGACAACAGTTTGGTTCAGAGGATTGTCCTGTCCAACACTGTAAGACTACTATGGTTGGTGAAACTGAAGCCCAGACAATAATAGGCCAGTGGTGGGTGGGACCAGACCTTGACTGGCACGTCTTAGATGTGAATGTCTTTAAAATTCTATATAAAGCTTAATCTTACTTCAGGACCCTGAATATGGACCTTTTCCCAGTGTGGCCACATTAAATACATCTCCTTTTAATGCCTTCCATGATTAATTTGACTCTTTTATTTGGCTTACTGAAAGTGAGTGGCAGGAACAGGCTTGGGCACAGGTAGTGATGTGTATGTTTGATAACGGGATGTTCGACTAGTTATTGTTCTTGTTGCTATGACAAAAGCAAGTTAAAGCATCAAAGAAGTGTTTTGCCTCATAGTGAGAAGGAGGGGAATCAGTGGCAGCAGAAGTCTAAGGCCAGTGGTCACAGTGCACTCAGAGTCAGGAAGCAGAGAGATGAATGCTGTGTTCAGCCCACTTTCTACTTTTTATTCATTCCAAGCCCCTAGTTCTTAGTGCTACTCACATCTGGGGTGAATCTTCCCAGTTCACTCAACCCAATGAAGAAGCTCCTGGCAGATGAGTCCAGAGGCTCAACTCCCAGGTGACTCTAGGTCCTGCCAAGCTGATGAGCAATATGAACCTTTCCAGATGCCCACACAGACTACTTTCTGTCAAGGACAATCCACTTTTAAACCTCAGCTTATGAAGCTAAGAAAGGATATAATGCCTCTCAGAAATATTTTCATCAAAAGAAAGGCTAGCTGGAGGGGAAGGCCTGAGGGTCTTGGAGCTTTGCCTAATTTGAATTCCTTCTGTTCTAGAGGAAGGAGGTCTCTATAATGTTATCTTTGACTCAAAGCACCCTGTTGCTTAGAGACACAGACACCATCACTAGTTCCTCAGGATTCTCCCAGGCTTTTCTAACCTGGCATGAACCAGGAGTCTGAAGTAGTTGGCTCCCCAAACATTTGAAGGGCTTCAGGCAACCTTTGTATTTCATTGTTCATTGTGTTTGGTCTACTCATCCAGACAAACTGGGAGGCAGATTTTAAAGAAAATAAAAAGGAAGATCTAAAAGTATAAAGCCAGCCTTTCCCATCTACAAAAGCCCTCATAGAGCAGAGATGTATCCCCTTGGCATTGGTTTTCAAAACTTAAAATCTCTCTGGAATTCTAAGCCAGATAGCATTCAAAGAAAAAAGAAAAAATATCTCTTTCTGACCTTTCTTCAGCCACCAGTGGCAGGGGCATTATTGACAGAGAAAGAATGAGGGCTAAGATGATGTAAGATCACTTAGGGCAGTCAGCAGGCCGTGGAGCCCCAGGACTGCTGCTCCTCCCTGGAGACCCAGAGGGTGAAATCCCACACCTGCCTGAAGCAGCCTTGACAATTGATTTCTGAGCCTCTGGGGACACTCACCCAGAGCTTGGGAGCCAGTCT